TGAGGAACAACAGAAGTCGAAAGCAGGGAACTGCAGTTTAGAGTAAACTCTTATCTACGCATTTCGGCTACTTTGTTGATGCCAACAGTCGTGTGTTTGAATGGCTCCCCGTTGTTCATCGGGACCACTTGCTGCCAATGGAATTATTGCTACCAGAGACAGTAATGGAGGTGGCTTGCAAAACAGATCGTAGAGCTGATAGCTCGGGTGATTGCTGTTTGAACAAATTTCAAAAATACCTAAGAAGTCACCCCTTCAACTATTATCAAATTATTTAAAAACTACGAGCATTCTGAAAAACAAAGCTGACGTCTAACGTGCGTAAACCGGCAGGACAGTTCACCCAATGACTACACAATAAGGGCTTTGGATAGGGAATACTGATTTACTTCGCACAATTTGTATCCGGATATATTTCGCTGTATCTCATCAGCTGCATACTACAGATCGTATAATATAAATGGTCACAACAAATTGATTGCCAGTAATAGGTTCAAAACGGTCAGAAGTTTTACCAAGGCAACGTCGAGATGACCAACGACTCCTTTTGCTTGCACAAATTAGGCTTCCATCTTTGAATCCTCATTACTTAAGTGAACTTCAGTAAACGTCAATTGACGTTGGATAGAATTACCGAGAACGCAGTAGTTTGGCTGAACTGATGCTTTGTCTCACGCAAGTGGAGTGCGATGAAAGAGGCTGCTGGTTTTTGGTCGGTGACCTTTGACCTGTCTCCCATCGGTTGAAAAAAGTGTCTACCTACCATGTGACTTGATCAGACACTATCCATTGAAGTTGCGTTCAATTGGGCCTAGGTAGGTGGCTATGAACTGATCGTGATTGTTTGACGGGTATATGTCGATATGTGTAAGGTAGGATAGGGTCCGCGACATTTTATGACTAGTTCATTGCCGATTTGAGGCGGCGTGCCAACAGCTTGGCTATATTATTACCCTTGAATGGCAACTGCAAAAGAATCTTAAATTTGGGCGGCGCGCCAGACAAGATGGATCAGGTGTGCACAATCTACGAGCCTATTGTACATTGTTCTCGCCAAGTCAAGTTTGCAACTCAGCAGTACAGAGCTGGTAAAATGTAGGTACTTTTCGACCTCGTATATTTACGGTATGCTTATCCGCATGCACTACCACTTTGACATTTGCTTCTCAAAAAATTCAGAAATGCGAAGCTGTTGTCACGTTCGTGCCCGATGGAGAGTTCTTATTACGGTGTATGGTAATGAGTTTGTGAAAAAAGGTCGACACAGTCCTGACCTTGGCAACACCATTAACCTGGCAAAAATGACTGCTTTGAAATTTGAAACATATGTTTTCAGCGCATCTCGGGATGAGACGCTTCAGTTCCGTCACTGGAATTTTTAGTGATGTTACGTCCATGCTGGATAAAAGTGGAGTTCGTCGAAAGACCCGGCGAAATCAAAGCTATAGTGCGCCGGTCTGTCAGTGACTGACTAATATTTTAACCAACCACTTGGTTAGTTTGGATTGAGGATAGTAAGTGGGAGTTAGTAACTATGGCCAATCCACATGATAAAGGTGTGAAATTTATGGCTGAAATAGAAAGACAGCAAGGGGCTAGTTGTATCTCTGGGGCCGAATAAGTGAGAAACAAGTAATAGGGAGTTGCTTTTGATAGAATAATCACTAAGGTGAGTTTGATTTTCGCGTTCTATTTCGAAAGCACTAAGCCCTAATAATCTTACAGGTAGATGCTGATAACTTGTACTCTAGCACAACCCAACAGCCCTAAGAAGCGAAAAAAACTTAGTTAGCCCGGACGCTGTTCAGTCTAGGGGACCAGGATTGTATTCTAATCAATATTCGCGGTGGTAGTAGTAGTGGCAAAACTATTAGAAAATCATTGACGCATAATAATTCTGTGGTAACCACAAACCTGATATATGTGCACACGTAAAAGATCTGATGTCTCAATCGCATTTCCGGATAATCTATCAGACTGCGAAGAAATTCGATAGCGAGAACCCCTTTGCTGTTTGAGAAAACCTTGCGAACAATAACCCCGTGTCAGTTTCACTTAGTGTTGGATTCTCATGAAGCAGACGTACACATTTGCCCGCTGGATCTCTACCAACAAAGATGACGATAAACCGAATTACTAGTCAAATAGTTAAAACTCGAGCATGTTGTATCTCGGTTCATATTTGATCACTAGTCAGGATGAGAAGACCAGATTTTGGTTGCTTTAGCAGGATATTGTGGCGAGGATAAATCGGTGTCATATTCTTGAATAAAAATTTTGTATGTTTTCTTCCTGTTCTCCGATTTTTTTCTTGACATCAAATAGGATTGCACAAAAGACATTTGGTTCAAGTGCGTTGGGACTTGTCACCAGTAAACACACTGTGTCCCGGACAAACTCCTGGCGAATTAGTGACGAAGATGAAAAAGTTGTCCAGTGCTCGTTGTCGGTCATCCTAAATAATTCCATCTTTAAAAACATGCACTCCACATGTGAGCAATTAACGTGCTTTCAAGGAGTAAAACTCTACATGCAAGACCAGTATCAGTGCCTGGCACGTGTACACATGAAATGGGTTAACTCAAAAACGACATCCCGGAATGCACACAAGTTTGAGATATCAAAGTTTGCGTAATCTGACGAGATCGAGAACAGACTTTGCTGTACAGTTTCTTCGTTGCTCTCCTACGTCCGCTGTCACTGTATGTATCCGAACTAAACTGAGACAGCTCACTCTCACCATTAACGGAGAACAGATCACTGGCACAAAATTCTTTATTAGTCTAGATACCGATAGACTCACTATCTGAGTATCGGTAATTACACGCAAGCACGCACGCACACAAACAGGTATACAGTTGTGGATCAACTAAGATGTGCTGAAAATGAAAACATCTGATGTACGGAAAATAAATTTTATTCGTCAAGCCATTCGTTATCCTGAATTTGCTTGATTCGATAGTGTGCATGGGGCGATCGGATAAGTTGTCGAAGTGAAAAATCCTTTTCCCAAACTGGGTTCATGAATTTTCGGTTCGACCACTACATGATCCCGACAATCCTGACGCTGATCAATGTGATAGTTTGCTAACGGAACACGCTCCTCTGGAGATGGCTGTTTGTAGGCAAAAAGACAGGGTAAAGTTATTCGTGGACCATCCGGACCGATAATGGTTCCTTCAGGATCGATCAGTAGGCCAGAACCAAATCCGAGTTTTTTTATGACCGAATCACTGCCAATTGGATTTGGCTGATTCTGTGGAAGTAGTTCCGCTTGAACAACAACTTCATAGGAAACGTGAATGGGATACTGAGAGAGAACAGTTTTACCCAAACACTTCTGACAGAACGGTGCCAGCAAATTCTGTTTAGCATGCTGTTCGTTTACATCGTCATCTTGGGGGTGAACATCCAAGCAGTCGATGGATGTGTGGTAGGGTTCTTCTGGTGGCATCCAATCGCTTCGTTCTGGTTCACCGGGACGGCGCTTTCGATGCACACACCGACAGTTCCTATGTGGATCACCTGACCACACATTTTCCCACATATTTTCTGGTTCATTCAACGGACGCATTACAGTAAGCTGATTTCCAAGTGACAAGAGGTGATCAAGCACACCACTAAACGAAGAGCAGGCCACGGATCGACGCTGGACTTGGTTTACCGGTACCGGTTCGTGTCGAGGAGGGTTTTGTAAAGCGAACTCCTGCCCCGGTACCTTTGGTAGCCGTATAGCCCATGCCTCGTGCATATTGGCCAAACCACTAGGGCGAATGGGACCTTGTGCCGTACTCAACAATTTACGAATGCTTTCGTCTGTAGGCCATGGGTTCAAGGTCACACGGACCGTGCTGTTTTCTGTGCCCGGCAATACGGGCATACCAGAAATCAGACTATTATCTGTCAGACAACGACGACATATCAGTGAACGCCATACACGATTTGCACACGCTTTAATGCGCAAACATTGATGCACTTCCACGATTATGCGGTGAATAACTCGAGCAGATGAATTGTGATATTTAATATCACATTGTATGGGTTCACCCGGAGCGTACACGATACGATCCAGTTTAGCCAGAAGGGTAATTACTCCAGCATCAAAACCGGTTCGAGGACCCACGGCCAGGCAATAATCCGTAAATGATTTCGGTGGATTCATGTGTTCGATTGCTACCAATCGCGGCAGGTAGGACAGTTTACGTATAGTCATACATGCGATATGTTCACTTTTGGGCTGAATTGACGGATTCGGAACCACATAGGCTCGTACGGTCCAAGAGATTCCATCGCGCGGAGCCCGCTTAGGTCGAGGATGCCATGGATAGGCATCTTTATGAAACAGATCCTTATTCCATTGGTGGGCCTTTTTAGCTTTGCTTGCTTGGGTTTTTTTCTTTGGAATCGGATCACCCAGGTGACGAATTTTTGGTTCGTTTTCCGCATCAGAATCTGTAAAATCGCTCGGCGGATCCGGATCGGAATCCGACTCATGATGGCCAAATCCGAACACGGCCTGATAAAACAATTGCATCCGATTGGGTGGAGGTGGTCCACCATCTGGCCCCGGTCGAGGGCAGAATCTCAAATAGACAGAATCAGGAGTACCGTTGATGTCGAAACGGAACACAAAGTTATAGTTCACAAATGGATGATCCGGATGACCGGATGATTCAACCGCTTTGGTTTGTGGAACAAACGTCCTATTGCGGCGCGTATTTCCAGCCGTGCCAAGCAACACTCCAGAGGCGGTGAGATTCTCATCGATCATTGCTTGTCCGCTAACAGGACCACCGAGCTTGTTGTAAAGACGTCTTGTTCGAAGAGAATAAGATTTAAGATCGCTCGGCGGGTGTCTAAATACCTTAGCACCTTCTTTCTGATAACTTCTTGGTGGATTAAGTTGTCGACGACGTCTAAATACGACCTCGTTCACCTCACAATCAAACGAGTCAAGCTCAGACCGAGCGTATCGGTAGCGTGCAGAAACTTCGACATACAAGTAAGACCCGATTTCCACCAACCATGGATTAATATGAACTAATCCTTCAATAATACCGTGATGGGAAGGTTCAAAGTCGTCTGTGGCATCGGGAAACGGTGGGCCTCCACATTCGGGGAGCTCCGTAACCTCAGATCCGGTTTGTTGTTTACGTTCGTATACTTCAGCTAAATTACTCCAAATATCACGATTGGTCAAATAGAGACAAACCGCCTGAGACGGGGACTGTTTGCGAAAAACTGGCAATGCAGTTCCTTCCCGATATCGNGTGGGACGCTTAGAGCCACCATGCGCGCGCGACAGGTGATGGTCTCGTGTTTTGGTGGGGGTCTCTGCGAATAACTTTTGAACGGAACCGATCGATCGCGAGTGGACTGAGGCCATTTGAAGGCGAAATACGACAGACCAGTTGCGCTAGCATTCGACGAAACAAATCTGATCGCCCGTGAGAAAATGCAGTTAGAACCGTTAAAGAGCTGTGGTGAGGTGGCAGTCCATTCAGGTACTGATCAAATAACAGAAAACTAAGCAAGAGACGGAAAATTGTACATGTGGACACAATGACCACGGCTTAAATTGAATCAACCTTTTTGAGGACATTTTTCGCTGGACAGTGATCCGGAAAAAGAATTTTCCCACTCGAAAAACGTAGGACTATGTAAAGACCCTCACAGTGGAATAATATAACGAAAGATTATGATGGGAAAATTTGGTGCAGTCCAGCAGGATTTTGATAGTAGCCTCAATACAGAGATACAGATGGTGTTATGTTATAAAGGTTATTTAGTGATTCTTTAGTTAAGCTTTTAGTTACAACATTTTGGAAACCGCTCTCTACAGTACGAATAAATGAAAATAACAAAAGACAAGACTATAATCGAATATCGCCCAGTTCTGTGTACCGATGCTTAATTGATAGTGTGCGGGTACGCAAACCTCAATACAGTTGGTCTACCGAAGTAAATGGGGCTTTCATAATCAACCGAATCAGACCCCTCCTTTAACAAAAGAAAAGCTACGATTGTTGATCGGGGACATATGTATGATACAACTGGGAGCCCGAAAAACATGCTTGTTGTCGATGGGTCTTTCCACTGACATTGAAGGCTTGCCTAAATTGGGCCAACACGCAGTGCACTCTACATGAGGTTGTACTACTCTGAGCTTCAGTCAAAGTTTGCGTGGTTTGGCACAGTGTGTGCAGAATGCGAGGGTCGGGAACGCAGAAGTAATCATGAGTTAGAGTGGGTAGATTGTCTTGGTTAAGTATGCGCAGGAAACACACCAATCGGTGCTTCGTGGCGAAAGAAAGCACGTATAATATTGAAAGTACATGGAGCTGAGGTGTGTAAAAATACGTGACGTGGTTTGGCCTATTAATTATCCCTCTTGTGCTGTATTGGAGTACAAATAATCATGTTTCCCCTTCCTCCACCGTACCATATGGATATTCATGACGTGCATTGATCAATCATGCAAGCAGATGACGAAGTTCACTTCACTTCATTTCACTATCCGTTGTTGATTGTGGTGATGACGATGGTGCACGCCAGATTGAAAAACCTTGAAAGAAATACTCATCATTAATGATTTGTTATTCAGACAGTTCAGCTGGTTGGTTGGTGGGTTACCCAATTACCCAAAACACACATACCTTACTGGTTCCACCAGTCTTCGTGTCTTGTGGTCTCATTCGTTGGCGGACTTTTTAGAACGCAGAGCACTGATAAATTCGTTAGCTCTAATACCCTTGCCGTTTGAGAAACGATCCGCAAATTCTTCAGTCGGTAGTTAGGTGGTTGACGGCTTTATTTTATCACAACAGAGTCACCGGGTTATAAGGCTTTGGAATGAAAGGCGGGTAACCAGCCTGGTAGTGATACCGCTGACTGTTTTCGACTGTCATTCGCGATAGCCTTAGTTGATGACGGGCCAGGCGGGCACATCAGGAAGCTTGCCACAGACATTTTCAGCTGTTTTCAGGGAACACTAAGTACACCGTATGCTCCGAAATCAACGTTGAGCATCCACGAGAGCTCATTCACTGAAGAAATACTGTAGATATTTTACACGTAACCAACGATACAAAAGTCGACAGAAGTACCACAACATATGGAATCTCCATAGGTTTTAAGGGAATGTTACTTCCCAGTTGCTCATAGCGAAAAAAGGAATAACCTTGGGGCTGCTACCCAATGACTTGAACAAAGCAACAGCACAGAACTCGAAGCCCACTATCCCTCGGAAGTTGATCGACCCACAAACCCTTTGAATGGGATCAGATAGCCCAGATGATCAACATGCTTTGATGCTCGTTCAAGCCAACGGCCATAGCCGGAAGCAGTCAAGTGTATTTACGGTTTGTACTCCTATTTTATATCACTCGGAAACACTTTTTTGACAACTCTATTAGGTGAATTGTTGACGGTACATTGACCACTCACTTAGGTGGTAAAACAACTCCGCCGCATGAAGGCCGTGAATACGGATTCCTCTTCAAAGTTCGCTTGAGATTCTCGATAATCTAGAAGCACTTTGCGAGGTGCAACGGATGGATGACCAGACAACATCACTCCCGACAACAGTGAGGCTTTCAGAGGAAGAAACGCCGATCTCTTCATAAGTAACCACATGCGTGACGGTTCTGTCTGCGGCTTGGAGACTCACTCGATAACTTATAGTCCCGCTTGCCTCCGTGTATCAAGTGTTATGAAGAATCAGCAACCAGAATCAAGGACTTTTTCCAATTCAGGAGCCAACTCTCACCAAAGACTCCGTCTAACGACCACAAGCAATCTCATATTTTCTTGGGATTAGAACCTCGACGTGAAACATATTACTGAGTGGAGTTTGAGGGTTGCATTGTGCCAACTCAAGATGTAGTCCGCAATTAACATTATAGGTTAAGATAAGAGGCGAACATCGAAGTGGAGTAGAGCGGGTTAAAAGTAAAAAGGAAGTAAAAGAAATAATGTCAAACATGCAATCAAAAAGGCATGCTTTTACCGGAGGGAACGTGATCGTAAACTTAACGAGAGGCAAGTTAGTAACAATATCACTGACACCATTACAGGACGCAATAACACCACAACAACAAAATGGATCTCAGCAACAGGAAGTTGGGCGAATGAGGCTCTCACAGTACAGGTGAATGTGGTTACGACCTTGCACCGGTTTCACCATAACGGCAGATCAGAGTTGTTTCGTTTATCAAATACGGAATCCCGTCGTGAGAGCCGGAAGTAGCCAATCACCAACTGTATTGGGGTGGGAGGTTTCACGTCAAGCATTTGGGTCTATTGCTACTATTGATTATTTTCACCCGGCTAAAAACCAGAATCAAAGCACTAATATAGAGGTTGTAGAAAATCACTTGTAGGTCAAAAGATAACACGGAGACGAGGAATGAAGAAGNNNGTGTACAGTAATTAAGTAGAGCATATCTCCCGACCTCCAGGCTGAGATCCAGAAGATTCTGTAACTGGTTGGTCGGAGATACCGAAGAATATAGCAGTAAACCGACAGCAGCGACGATCTTGTTGTCATTTTCACCAGACAGAAATGCTTGAAGAGGTGTGTGTGTTGTGCAGTTAGACCACAGAAATTCACCCTCCCTTCGTTAAAGACAGGTTTATTCCCCCCGTCGACTTTGCACATTCGGACTTACAACGTACATATTGTAAGTCTGTCAATGATCAGTGAATTTCGCTGTAGAATGATGATAATTATCATGACCAGTATGCAAATTTGATGATGATTTGAAGTGTTACAAAGATGACTGATCAGTTAACCGGTTTTCGCAGAAACAGTGTGCATTTGGATGAATATTGGATAGGCATGTGCAAAGGAAGTATAGGAAACCGGTATCTATATAAAAGGAAATGAGAGATGGATAACTAAAAGCAGTAATCTGCACAAAATGTCAGGCCTGGTAACCAACAGATGAAAATCGCTGTTAGGTACAGAGTTGCTTTTGTCCAGGTGTAACCGCAATGGGTCAAAGATTGATCAATGTTCAAACCAAAATAACTAGCTCATGCAGTTGAACAGTGAGACCGGTTGAAAAATTGAACGGCCAGGCATGGGAAATCAGAGGTAGAACAAAGAAAAAGGAACACTTACACTATCTGTGGTCACTGCCTGATCAGTCACGCTGCGCCACAGCTGCACTGTAGATTCACCCAACCTACCACCCTCGGCAGTATGTATAATCTCTTCGTACAGACGAGAAACTTCGGAAAGAACAGTGGGCGAGGTAAGTCTATTGGAACCGGCTAGATCACCAATGGAACCATTTGGGGCGGGACTGTTGACTTGTGGGGTTGACGGTATGCCATTTGGAGCAGTGCAATCTTCTCTTACCCGAGTACAACGCTCATTTAGACGATCCGGAATGTAAATAGGTGACAACTGAGGCTAAAACAAATCAGATAGAGCAGAGGGGGGAAAGAACATAAAAGATCTGGTAATGTACCGCAACGACAAAATGAGCTGCCCTCCAAAAGTCACATTTATTCCTAGGGTACAAGAGAAGTTGTTCCAGTCCAACGAAAAGCTCCTGTGAACCCATCTCCTGGGAAATTCCCAGGCACTGCAATGTGGTGACGAACGTATTTTCATTAGCTAACATTAGGATCGATCACACACGAGTGACTAGTTGAGATAAGGGATCTGGAAAACTCTGAGGCCAAACCCCATGAAAAGGCGTACAAATCGCATCCAGGACACCTTAATCGTGAACGTCACGATTGGGTAATCGGGTATGGGCACCCTAGACACATGAACATGATTGGAAACAAAGATTATGCTAACCTGGAATCACAAAACTATTAAACACTGAGACGAAGTAGTCTCCCATTCCTTGAAGACAACTTTCGTCACTTGCTTTCGTAGAATATATTCATAAATATGTCACATAAAGTATCAGTGAAATTGGAAACGTATCCACAGATTGGGGAGAAATCTCCGGATGTCTTTGTAACAAGTTGGTATTGCGCAGCAGTAATGCAAATCACCAAAACATCAAGCTTACCACTCGTTTGGTACTCTTTCCATCAGTCATTGTCTTCTCTATTGTTTGCTCACACGCTTTACGCCGCTTACGTCGCGAGACATTTCGAAACATAGAGCGCCGAAGACGAACCGGAAATCCGGGAGCAACATACGGGTCCGGACTCATATCCTGCCCGCGAAACCAGCGCGGGATGAGATGAAGCAGAGAATCCAATCCGAGGTTCGGACGGGAAGGTCTGGACTGCTTTTGTGTGGCTGGAATTCCTTCATTCACTGAATCCTCAGTTGAATTCGGAATGACGTCAAAACCTTGTGAGTCTCGTGGATGATCGGATGGTCGAGAGGATTTGCGGCGAATTTTCGAGAGACTAAAACGAAACCACTTTCGTGTTGAATCACGCTTGACTTTAGAAGGCTTGACATTATTGCGTGCATCCCCGGGTGCTGAATGCACGCTTTCGCAGCGCGTGTACGAATAAGCCGAATCGACAGAATCAAACTGTGGCGGCCAGTGTACACCGGGTTGGATGAGGTTTTGTTTCTGTAGTACATTACTCCCCGCGCTATGACTGCGCATCACCCACCCCGGTGGACCATCTCCTCGCGGAGTGAGAGCATTTTGAACCAAACTGTGTGCTTTCAGCTGTGACGGAGTGCGAGAGGGAACATCCAACGCAGGTAGGCTGTATTGTCCGAGGCTAGCGGAATTCGAGAAGGAACTCTGTTGACGTTGGAACGGATCAGAACCTTCAACTTTGTCGCAAACAGGTTGAGGTTGACTGTCCAACGGAGGAAGTTCTATTACGGGCAGAGGGCATGGAGAGACCAGTTCTTCTGTATCTGACGGTTCCTCAGTATGGCAGAAGACAACTAAAAATGGAAAGAAAAATAATGTGAGCATGAAGCAAAAAAGGATTTAACACCGCTCGTTTTGCAGGGCAATCTCTCGTCAAGTTTTATTTTATTCGCATTCTGAGTCTAGGTAGCGAAAGTTGGTACTCAAACCGAAATGCATCAATTCTCACGATGCAGTAGTAGTTTGCATGAGAAGCAACCCTATTTTAGGCTTGGAGACTGATTTGAACATCCCAATCTTCCTTTCACTTCCTCAACCAAATGGGCAATCACAAGACGACAACGAAAACTGTCACACGAAAGTGCATGGTTAATGATTATAAAATCTGAAACTTTTGGCTTCTTTGACACAACTCTGGATGATAATAAGTGAGCATTACGGGCGAGCTGGAAGCAAATAATGTGTAGTGATGAACGGTGTAGCCTGGTAAAAACGCAGACAGATCGTAGAACTAGCCCATTCATTGGATACTTCTGTTGTCTTGTCCTTACGAATTCGTAAACACCAAGGTATGCGCACTGAGCTTAGTGCATGGGTCTCGTCCCTTGGGTGTTCCTTGAGTCCTTCATGACACTGCAATTCCAGAAAGAGGCCTGTATAAAGGAACAATATGCAGACCCTAGAGCCTATTAATTTGCGCAGACAATAAAATAACAAAAAATATCGAATCAACGCAACAGTGGGTTAACAGTATTGATCGTCGACTATGTACCTAGGGGTGAACGTTTCGGCCTACAACCCGCTGGTTGACGGTTTGAGTTTCATCAGAGATACTGCAGTCCTGTACTGTTTCTTGCCATCCCCATGCAAGAAGTATCCTCAACGCACTGGTCCATTCACGTTCATTTTGACCGTAGGTTTCAGTAAACCACGAAAGACATCTGCACCAGGTATGTTCGTCATGAGGATGTAACGGTTCAGGAAAACCAGGTGTAAGATTATATAAATTCGAGGTCGGACGGACTCACTCGTACGGATGTCGTATAGAGTTTCAAATCAGTTGAACAACCTTACCAGGAAACACTATTTGGATTAAGTATCAATCAGGATACTATTCAAGGGAGAAGGATAAATGATCCACAGAGATCCCAAGTTTTTTTCGATCGAATAAAGCAACCTCATCTATTCCATCACGAGACTGCACCTTGACGTGGTATGATGGCTTGTGCACCTCTCTGACCCAACGAGCTACACAGGAAGGCTTTTGTCAAGCCGAAGATCTGATCACGCCTGGAAGGTCGAAGGATGGAATTCGGACGAAGATCAGTCTCCTGGTCCTCCAGGTAGGGGTTTTAACTAGAATTGGCGTTTCAGTCGGTAAATGATGGTGGGGGAGTAATTGATCCAAGTAAATGGGCCTCCACCTCGCTTCTTGCGGTTCTTGTCAGAACTAAAGGCTTTGGTTGAGAACCCTAATCGTTCTCCTGCTTAGTGACTAGACACCCTAGCAGTACCCGCCCATCAAACCCCAATGCACATGCATTGCGAGTTTGGCAGTGATCAGTGAAGTTAGCATCCCTGTATTTCGCTGTACGATTATGACGATGATGATGATGACCCCATCTATTGTCCATGATGCATACTCTACTGAAGTGTCACATTTAATGCAATTTTTCTTTGGGTAAGTGAACGGGCGTCTGGTGACTGACTTAAGGTGACTGTAAAAGCAAATCGTCAAAAATGTGGGCCTGCTTCTGATGATTACACACAAATAAATTTAGTGGACATCGTATTCAAACTAGCCCGTAGGAATATAGTCTCGAACTAATACAAGGTCTTTCTCCCACTGTTCATCCAAATGGGCAGCCAAAAGACAGCAACCAAAAGCGGCGCACGAAGGTGCATGGACATTGGCTGTATAAAAAAACTGAAAACTCGAGGTCATACAAATTCAAACGGCAATACAAGAGAATTAAGAACACTGCGATGGAATGTAAAGTTCGGAATAAATACTCTTCCCCATAGCTATCGATATACATGTACGATACTGATACTATGTGAAATGTATTTCCAAAATGAGAGTCATGTTGCACAAGTTCGAAAAATGCCTGTCTTGAACCACAGATTACAGTGTACATCTTGATATTACCCATCTTAGTGTAATGAACAGAAGTGAACTAAGCAAAGACCGAACAGGGCAGGTGTGGTTAAAGAAATCATATCTGGTTTCGTGAGCAAGTTATTATTGGAATACGTAGAACAAATAAAACTGACCTCAAATCGGAAGAAAAACGATTGAGCGAACTCACAAACTGGGTTATTTTGATCCTGATCGCATGTTGTACGACGCCTCCCGGTTTGAAGTAAACGTTCACAGCCAAAAGGTAACGAATGCCGCGTCTCCAGTGGAATTAGCCGTTCTGGCGAACACTGGGCGCTCAGAGCCGATCTCGATTTTCGACGTATTTCACTCACATCCGTACCACAAAGAGCACAATGGTCGTTGGACAATTTAACTGGACGCGCTAATCCAGCCAAGCTTTTTCGGGCCTAAATAGTCACAAATGAGCCATGTGGATTAGGGAACAAATGAGTAGATGGACTTACCCGATTCAGCGGATCACCTAATGCGAACTTTTTCCGTAGTGAATTAGTAACCGGAACGAAATCGGGAATAGCGTTTGTGTCGCCTTGAACAGCTATATCACACACCTCCTCTTCCATGACAGCATCATCTAGAGACTCGAAATTCAGATAAACTTCTAGCATGTTTAGTGCTTCGTTGGTCACCACTTGGCGTTCATCACTGGGTGACATTGTAATCACAATATGAAGCGCAGACTAATTGGTCAAAAACAATGATCAGATTGGAGAGAATCGGATAATG